TTTTAATTTCTACCCTTTGAAAGCAATATCTACGCTCACTTTCCTATATATAATCGTGGGACGTCGCTCCTTCGTCAGTATTTCCAAGAATAAATTAAAGCAAAAACATATTTTATTTTCTCTCAAGATGTCTGTTGTCAATTCAATAATATTCTGGGCGTTGCTTATTTTCATATGGGGAGTACGGCGTTGTTTCATTCAAATGCGTTCTAAAAAAGTTTTCTTGATAGAGTTTGCATGTTCAAAGCCCCCAATTTCACAAATGTGCACAAAAATAATGACAGCAGAAAGAGTGAAAATTCTTGGAAATTACTCCGAAGAAATGATGGATTACATGAAGATGACAATGGACAAAGTAGGTTTAGGTGATACCACCTATTTGCCAGAGGCTTTGCATAAAGATCCTCCTAATCGATGCATGGATTTAGCAAGAAAAGAGTCTGAGTTTGTCATGTTTGGATCTTTGGACAATTTATTTGAAAAAACTAAAGTTGTTGAGCCTAAGGATATTGGCATACTAATAGTGAATTGCTCTGTTTTTCATCCTGTGCCGTCTTTATCGTCTATGATAGTTAATCGTTACAAGCTGAACCACAATATTTTGTCATATAATCTTACTGGAATGGGTTGCACTGCTGGACTTTTGGCCATTCGTCTTGCCAACCAACTTCTTCAGGTAACTAAGCACTGCCAAAGTTTTATTATGCTTTTATTTCTCTATTTTATTTTATATTATATGTTTGACTAGTCACAATATTAAAAAGTTAATTTAATTTAAATATTATAACTATGGTAGCAAAAGTAGCCATTGAAAGGTTAACTAGCTTGATGATAATATTTTATATCGAAATTGTGAAAGATAATTTAGTGAATAATAGTAACGTATTATTTGAGGATTGGTGTTAAAATTTTTGAGACATTATAGCAATACATTGTTTCATGAGTATTTTCAAGTAACATAATTTCTTTCTACTCACAAATGAATAATTTTCCAAATGCTATTTTTTAAACTTAAAAATAACTACTATTAGTACTCTTTTTTCTTTTTCTTATTTTTAACCAAATATTGATTCAAACGCCTGCTAGCTAGTGTCAGGTGCTTTGTTTCCGCGATTGTTTACTATACAAGAACTAAGTGATATTCAACTTTCATTTTACATGGGAAACAGGTGCATGAAAACACCTGTGCTTTAATATTGAGTACAGAGAACACTACAGACTGCATCTACGTGGGAAATGATGAGTCCAAATTCATATCAAATTGCACATTTCGTGTTGGTGGAGCTGCAATTCTCCTCTCTAATCGACCATCCGATAAAGAATTTTCCAAGTACGAAATCCTTCGCG